TGAGCGTGCCGTCGAGAATGGTCCAAGCAACTGTTCTACGGAAAGATTATACCAAGTTCGGTGCTAGAAAATGTCAGCCCTAAATGGTCATGCTAACTGGTTTCCAGGTAGTTTCATATCTAGTGCATTCTAGAACTGTCGTGTTGTAATCCCGCACAATACATATTCCAGAACAGAGTCGTTGAGGAAAATTTTGAAATACGACCCCCCACCTCCCCAGGTGCCGAAGTCCATGAAACGACTCTTCACACGCCGGAGTATGAAGAAAAGTTGTTTAACTTTCCCCGAAAAACCTTTCCTTTCAAAATACACCCCCATGCCTTATGGACTCACCATCCTCTATTGAAACCGTTCAACAAGTAGGAAAAGTCGAAGAAGGCCATTAACAATGAATACTACAGAGAATAAAGCGAAAAACGATGAACTAGCAATGAAAAATATAAAGATGAAATAGATAGCCAGTTGTGTATTAAATGACCTTGGGCGTTGACCTTGAAGCAACTTATCCACATCTCGAAATCAGCTATAAATTACGACAATTAATGAGAAATACCTTAATTAGGTTGATCAGCGAGAAAAATACTTGAAGTGTGTGAGTTTATATTTTCAAAGCCATTACCCCCTTTACGGCACATGACATTATTTATGGGCGGAAGTGGTGTAGTGACAAGTGGCGCGCTTACCACGCGAGCGGTCCGGGGATCAAATCCTGGGTCGTGAGTCGCCCGGGCCAACCAAGCCTTCCATCCCTCCGGGGTCGGTTAATTGGTACCAGACTTGTCTGGGAGGATAAAAACACTGACTTGACATCGGCTGGCCCCCGCAAGTCATTGTATAGGCCACATCGCATTCAATGTACAAATGGAAGTAGAATGCGTGCCGCATCCCAAAAAGGGATTGATCAACGGCAAATGCTTTATCTTGATCGTTTTACCTTTTCAATTAAGTTACAATTTAATATAGGATTGTGAGCTGAAAAATTAGGCTTAACTCAACCATTCTACAAAGTAGGTCCGATCTCGACGTATGCCTAAACATTGAGGATCTTTTAAATGATGAGGGAAATTTCGAGAAGCGGCAGCTTTTTACCAAATCCATCATTTTCCTCAAATTTATCGAGTCTGAAAAATTAATAGAGCAGTTAACTAGAAGGTCCGCTTTACTCAAATATTGTAAGGATGGCTCGATTTTTTTCAGCACATCAAAAATGGCTACGTTGAGGATTTTTGCCCACGCATCGCACCCGAGGTTCTTCCTCGCACTATTGCAACGACTATTGCTTCCTCAAGGACGATATTGTACAACAATGAAAGCAAATTCAGAACAAATAAGCTTCCTGCTTTCAATGGGTGTTAAATAGTACAGCAACCTTAACTTGAACGATTATAAATATGTTTATGAATTTGACGCTGGAAACTGCTATCCTGCTAAACAAGTGAATTTCTTCCCGTCATTTTGAACGACCCCTTTGGTAATTCTCTTGATTATCCCTAAGTCGAGATTTTTTTTGCCACGGTACCGTAATTAAAATGCGTGCGACTGATTGGGCCCAACTCTCCGTGTGCTTCACATCCCTTCAGAATCGCGGACCCATTTGAAAGATGAAACATCCGTCGGTAAACTTGTGCGATTCGAATCCTCTACCCCTATCTTAATATATCATTGAGATAGCTTGGAATTGCTACGCGGACCCTTTTGAACTACAAAAACTCCAGCGGGCCAAATACGATCCGCCTATCGGCGTGTGGGGTATTCCTCAATATGCTTGACTCTGGTCAGCAACATGCACAGATGATACGTTGGCGATAATGCGATTTTTGCGTCTCAAGTAAGGAAAAAATGCGTCCAAGTGCTGCTGCGCATCTGTCCCAGCACCTGCGCGTTGGGGCTCAAGGAGGAAACAGTTGAGACTTCGTCTGCCCCAAATCTTCGCTGACTGCCTTTGACTCAGTCCGTAAATTTACTCTTTTGGAGGAGGAGAACTTTCACAAGAGGATAGAAAATTTTCTTTATCATTCTCCCTCCCAAACTGCAGGATCAAGTTGGATCCGGGCATTTTCTTAGCAAGAGGCTGTATCAGAGCACTAGCTAACAGCAAAAAAATCAGTTTCGTACACTAAAACAAGAAGTTTCAGCTGAAAAAACATCTTTTACTGCCCTTTCGCCCACTGGCATGCACAAATTGTGCCGAACATTTTTTACCTCAGTATGTTCTTAATCACGTTATCATAAGAATTTTGGAATTTGTGCAAAAGAACTTTTTTCTCAAGCCGCGAAGCGGCTAACCGCATTGCCGCTATTGCGTTAGGACCACAAAAATGTCGTTAACTTATTTCGCGAGACAGGTGTTATTATTATCATCATTATTATTATTTATTACTATTATTATTTACTACTATTATTGTTTATTATTTATTAGCACTATATTATCTTATAGCATTATTTTTATTTGTGGTATTATTTCTGAAGAGGAGTTGGAAAGGTTGAGATTCGAGGAGTAGAGCAAAGAGCTTAGGGTACAGTCCTGTAGAAATGATTACCGTTGGAAGCACTGGTGATATGCCATCGACGGCCATGTGCAATCGAATAGGTCGAAATGCCTCCACATTGTGCTCATCGCTAAAGCATCACTTCAACAATACACAAATCCGCGAACAAAACCAAAAGGGTATGGGAGAATAAGTACTGCCGCCCGCCGCGCCGCAATATCGCGCGTCAGTTTTGTAAATCGATAGCCACACATTTTTTCAGGGTGTTCCCCAACCAGGGTCAACCGTCCGTTGGACAAAGTCCAACGCGACGACGAGAGTAATGCCGAGAGTGAACGTACGCACGGAGACACAGACGGCTCGCGGGTGGCGAGAGTGAATGCCGGCGCGGAGAGCGGTGAACATCGGTCCAACGTCGCTCCAATATCGGTCCAACGTAACGGTTGACCCTGCCCCCAACAGGCCCACCGCGCGGCGAAGGAAGAGACGCAGATGCGGCAAAGGACGAGTTGCAGCGCGTGCTGTGCGATATGAGACGTAGTATGGTACACTCTCTTTAACCTGACGCCTAACCGCTACAGTATGCGCTGCGACTCGTCCCTTTGCCGCGTCTGCGTCTCTTCCTTCGCCGCGCGGTGGGCCTGTTGGGGGCAGAGTCAACCCTGCGTTGCGCAGTTCTCAACGGCCACGTTGCGCAGTTTCGCCCGATTAGACACGTTCTCTCGCGCGAACATTCACACTCGCATGCTCGAGCCGTCTGTGTCTCCGCCCATACAGCGTGCGTTGAGGATCTCTCAACGTGCCGTTGCGAACTGCGCAACGCAGGGTTGACTCTGTTGGGGAACACCCATTTTTTCATCTACGACGAACGGCAAATAACGCGGTATGCGACGCTACTTATTTCTCCACATTCCCTGAATAGTACTCACATCACATTGACATAATCGGCAACGTCGTGAGAGCATCGTGACGCCCTAGCTTTGATGTACCAATCCTGCCGCCAATGAAGTATTAGTCGGAAAATTCCAAGTGTACAAATGGTGAGTGCATAGTAGATCACCTAAACATCCTTGCCAGTACAGTTATAATAAAATAAGAGATTTGGTATATAATTGAGTCATTCAGTTTGTAAAACCAAAAGTTGTTTTTGGATCTCAATATTGTTTATGTACTTTTGCCAAAATTTTATTTAGGGGTGGGATCAAAGAGTAGTTTAGTCTCCGTTTCGCACGTGCCCTTACAAGGGAGGTCTTTCAGGGCAAGCCGCGCTTTTTGGAAACGGTTTCTTGCATATTGTAGGGACGCATGTATGGACCACAAAACCATGTTTCGTTTTCGCTGAACGGTTTTAGTAGTACCAAAAAAGTGGTGAATATACCTTGATGGTTCGATCCCCCGCGGCGACTAAATTTTGCAATCAAGGTTGGCGGCCACTTGTTGGCTTCAAAATGGTCCTGACGATGAATTGACATCTGATTTTGACATTTAGCGCGATTTGGCACCAAACCGTAGGCGCCAACCCAAATGCAAAATTTAGTCGCCACGGGGGATCGAACCATTAACAGTACCTTATGCTTCTTTTTTGGTACTGCTAAACCGTTCAGCGAAAATGAAACATGGTTTTGTGTTCCCTACATGCGTCCCTACAATATGCAAGAAACCGTTTTGAAAAAGCGTGGCTTGCCCTGAAAGACCTCCCTTGTTAGAGGAGACTAAACGAAAGAGTATCCTCTCCCTGTGCTCATCAGTAAGGGAGGAGAGGTACAAAGAAAAAATAAATGCGACTGCTGGCCTAAGGCGCTTCATCAAACAGGTTTGGCCGATAAAAGCAGTCAATCCAGGGTGATACTAAAACTGCACGCTGGGTTGACTGCTGTTATCTGTTGTTAAGATTAAACTTCGTCTTCAGCTCTTCTTACAAATCTAATCGTTACTAGTAGTTATTTTTTTTTAATTTTTTTTATTGCCTCCATTGTTAATTTATCCTTCCCTTCTTGCCTGCGCAATGACCTAAGGTACCCCTAAATGGCATTTATTAAACAAACAAAGAAAAATCAAAAGAATTTCACATAAGTAGAAGGTAGACACAAATTTGTATAGAGTCACCCACTGAGAAGTGTGTGAGGTCGGTTCTGTTTCGTTACCCTTCCTTATCAAGAATATAAAATATTAGTTTTTCGCACTTCCCCCAAGCCCGCACGGACCAAAAATCTGGTCAATGCGCGACGACTGTCCAAACATTGGAGAACACGGGAATGTTTGTGAATCCCGACCAATCAATATTCATGAATTTAATTACCACAGCGAATTTGTGTGAAAGCAATCGTATATTTCGATCAGCAGCAAAAATAGAGTAGGTTTTCAAAAAATAATAGGGAAAAGAAACTTGGGCGATGTTCAGTATCAAGTGACGAATATCGGGCGTCAGCAGAAGCCAAGCATTCTACGATACCGAGATGAGCAAGCAAAGAAATTGAGCACTCATAACAAAATGTGACAGGATAGCTCTCAATTTTCTAGAAAGGTAGAAACCAGAAGAAAAAGACTGCACTGAGAATGGTACTAGTAGAAAACACCGAAATGAGCGCAAACTGGTTCCCACGGACAGCAATATTGGCGAGCACGCGATCAAGACTCATTGCAATCCTGGAGGAAAGTCGACGTCGTGGCGCACCTCAGAGAGAGACTAACAGCGCCTAACTTCCACTCAACTGCCTGATATGATCAACTGACAAATATCTAGTGCTATCTTATTTATATTACTCTTGTTCTACCTTTTTAATAAATAGAGTAGCTACCCTGAATTGTACTCAGAGGTGAGGTCTTAGACACCCATAGGGGTACTACAATATGTGAGAGTGATAACAGTGCCCAGTATGTGAGGTAACAATGGACATAAAATAAAGCATTTCAAAAACTAGCAGCTGGCAGGCCTCGCTTCTATGAGAGGAATGTTTGAAATGCTTCATTGCCACTTATCTTATGTTTGTTTGTTTACATTATTTATGTTTGGGACACCGAACAGCTTCCATTCTTACGCTTATCTAAAGATTTTCACTTAACAGCTCACTTTCTATTGCACTTGTTCACACACATCATGCCAACCTATTAGGTCCAGTCAACAACCACTGCGACTTTAGGGTCCACTTACCGTCTTCCATCGATCAATTTTGTAAGCGTAAAGTTGAAGGACTTCATCCCCAGCCTGAACAGTTAGTGCATGCCTTCCATGACCACCCATGTCACCGTCTACCAGTGACTGATAAGAGCCTAAATGGATCCTTGGCATAAGTTTATTGTGGTTAGAGCAGCTTCCTAATGATAGGACATTAAAACTGACCTGAATCGCCGTCAAGCAGAAGCGGCCTCCGCTCGAAATTTTCCTCGTATATGAAGCTCTGGAATATGACAAGTGTACAGTCGAGGGCAGAAAATAGCGACACGTTTCACTGATTTCTATGCATGACCTCATGGTATCTTGTCAGAAACATGGTTTTTCTAGTGCCTACGAATTTCTAGCACATCTGGCGATGCAGCCCCTCTTTTCTGACCACATGTCTGGCACTGCAGTAGGTTTTTCAGGGTCGCTAAAGCCCGTGATGGTATTCACGGTATTTGGAGGAGCCTTCATGAGATTTACTATGTATGTTCATCCAAAATCAAAAACAAATCAAGACAGCCGAAATCTTTCAGTTGTTGTTTCAAGAATTTTAACTTCGTTTCGTATCAATAATTCTACTGGCTGCTTTTCATTACTATTTTTCAAAAAAAATTTCCATGGTATATTGGCGCAACGAAGTTAGCTGGGGACATAACGCATCAGTTTTCGTGAGAAAAAAGCTCCTTTCAATTTATTAAAATATACCCAAGCGCTCCTTGACGTTGCATCACAATGCCCCCCCCCCTTACCGGATGAGCGCCCATATCCACTACAAATATACCATGAAGTGTGCCTTTGTACAGAAATGTGACTTCATCGCATCAAAAAGTAGTGAATGAAATTTCCGCTATATTGCGATTATTTAACGTAGTCAACGACGTAACGTAGGTCAGTAAGACTAAGAAGGGGAATACATGTACTGAACTATAATTAATTTATCGAATGTTTGCGATTAAATCGGACTGGAAATTCACCGTACTGCCAATTTCCTTATTAACTACTGTCTTACTGGACGGTAAGTCTAGAGTTTATTACTTACGCTTGCCTCTCCTGTTATTTTCTGACGTTATGAGATTAGTACGCCGTTGCAAATCGCTTTGCAAAAAAGTATTAAGCAACAAAATGGATAATTTCGAGTTTACAGACAGGAACGAACGTAAGCGGGCATATTGTATTGGGCAGTATACCCGCTTACGTTCCTCTTTCGGGCAGTATGAGGTCGTTATTATTCTTAATAATAACACTTATCGCATTGAAAGCATGGGTCCAGTTGGTGTAGTGCCAAGTGGCGCGGCTTACCAGGCGTCTGATTTGAGGTCAAACAGTGAGGCTTTGCTCTAAGCTCTACTCTAACGGGCTAACAAATTCCGTCTCTGCGGAACCGGTTGAGTGGTACTAGATCTGTTTCGAAGATATAAACGTTGACCCGTACATGGAGTGGGCTCCCGTGAGTTATTGTGGGTCGAATGACGTTCAAGTGGGACCAGGGATTTAGATGGAAGTGGGATGCGTGGCGCACCCCAAAAATGAATTGATAAACGCCGATTGCTTTGAATTTTTATGCTTTATCAAAAACGAACGGAGAGTCATTTGGAGGTTGTCAAGAAGCATAATACCTACAGAACAATTTAGCGTAATTGAAATTGTTTCAGGATTTAATTAGCTCTTCAGAAAAGCTCAGTAGTTCTAGAAAACCTGAAACACTAGAAAAGTACTGCTCGACTGTTACAACCCTAAATCAAGCATTTTTCTCATTCGAAACTTTGGTTATAGAGGTGATTCCGGAGTACAATAACGTTCTTGGGTATTCCGGATTGGGTGAGCCACGTAACCTGTGGCAAAAAATAGAGCGCCTGAACTTACAGGAAACCGGGTTATCCACCCCGGAGCCTCACCCTAGGAACTCTAGACGCCCGTAACAGGGGAAGGTAGCATGAGCGCAAATGACGGTCAAATGGTGCCAGCCAGAAGCTAGGTGTCATACACTTACGACAACGAATTACAATATATTTATAATTTTTAACGATTGATTTGTTTTGTTAACGAGAAAAATGTTGCATCAAATTAGCGCAAATGGTAGAAAATAGCGCAATCCACATTTGAAGGCCCCTCTGTTATCAGCAGTCACAATTATTTGAGGCCAATTTTGATCACACATAAAAATTTGGGGTTCTATTATCGTATTTAGTGGATGTAGTAGTATACTCAATGATATCAGAGATAAGCGACGTTATTCAAAAGCAGCTCATAAAGTTTTTGGGATGCGCCATGTATTTTTCTCCTATTCAGAAGTAAGATCTCAGTCAACTTGGCCTATACAGTGACTTTCAGCGCCATTTGATGAGTGAGTTAGGGTTTTAATCCTACCAGACAAGTTTGTACCTTTCAATCATGCCCGGAGGGATGGAAGGTTCATTGGCTACGATCAAGGACTTGATCCACGGGCGATGCACGTGATGAGTGGCGGCACTTCCGCCCTCAACTACGCACTGACCAGCAATGAAAACCAGTAACACGAGCCAATTAAGATACTTATACTGTCACAGTTGTTACAAGATGATTTATCAATCAATTCTTTCAAAAACCACTTTAATTTAACACTTACCATTTTTAGTTAGTTGTAGTAGTAGTGGATCAGCATGAGTTTTAACATCCCCTTTGAACTAATAAAAACTTTGTAAGAGTTGTGGTAGCAATGCGAAGTAGTCAGTGTGGCAGCGTGTGGCAAATGTTACACAGCCGAAAAAAAAACGCGATTCGTTTGCATGATCCATTTCAAAAATGACGTCATTGGAATGTAATCAGCAAGATCCAATCAATAAGATAGGGAAATGATGCTTCAAGGTAATCGTTATGGAAAAGAATAAACGGCTAGCAGAAACGATAAGGAGAGATTATGAAATGAAATAAGAGGAATCACTCAGTTATGGAGGAAACGCTATCCCAGAAAGTAACCCTGTTGGCGTCACTGTTTAATGTTGACCGACGATCGCTGAGCTGTCGCTAAAGATCAGCTGAGAAAACTCGTCTTGTCCACGACACGATTAATTATAGCAGCATTAATTGATTGTCTCCTTGCATTACAGTGTCTACACTACTTTTGATAGTAAAGCAGTAGTAGATCTTTGTAGATAGCGGAATCAGCAATTCCCATGACAAATGAGAGTAAAAAATCAATATGAAAAAATGATTAGCTTCCCGTTGGGACGCCAAGTGCATTAGGACAGTCCTAATGGACTGCGATAACGCCAAGATTACAAGGAAGCCAATTGATAGAACGCTGGACCACCTTTGATTGATCACCCCTCACCAAGCCTTATATCGATCGAGGCAGGTCAACACAAGTGGATACAATAAAAGGATGAAAAGGTGATAAGGATTCAATAAACAAATGCAATCAGGGAACCCAATGCCATGAAGTCCAAGAGAGAACACACTTTACAAGGAAGATACTGAAGTCAAACAAACTAAACTCGGTACCGTGACGGCCAGCGCACGGCTATTTTGGACACAGCCTGGACAAAAGTGGGTTGTTCCCCGAGCGAGTGGGTCATACACACACAGTTGGTCGCGTGACCTTGTTGGAGTGTGCGCTTGATAGATAGCAGGCTTCTTTAGACTGTTTCAGGTCATAAATATAATTTTGTAAAGTTTATCGAAGAAAGAGCTGAAATAGGAACCTCAATTGGTTGAATGCAACAGATGTGATAAAAAACGGGCAAAAAGCACCCCACTGAAGTAACGATTGATGGCTGTGCATGCTGCGACTGCATGAAAACGGGAGAATGGGAAGGTCGGAAGGGGACAGACAGCGGTTGATAAAGATAGCGATTTGAGCAGAAAAAGCCCGTTTCATGCTGATTCATGCTAAACTGTAACATCTATCAATAGGCAAGAATTTTTTCATTGGAAACTTTCAGAGAGCATTTAAATAATACTGGTTGATCAAAATGCCATTCAATTGCAACAAAAGCGTTTGTACCATTTCATCGCAGTTTATTCAATTTTTCCAGATTTCGTTTATGATTCCGCTAAATAAACGGAGACAGAGTCAAGAGAAGGAAAGAATCTCAATTATATAGGAACATTGCTGCAGTAAATTGTATGTCTTCTGTTATTTGTCTACTTTTTTTCAGTATGCTTACGAAAAGCGCGTTCAAAGGCCACTACTACAGGAATGCGCCACGCCTCCGCATTTCGGCTGCCCATTGAGTGTAAATAAGTTTTACCAAGCTTCCCAACGAAGAAAAAGATGACCAGGTTACAAAGCAGTTTTTACTGTACAATGCCCTGTTACCAGTTTTTGGGATGTCATCAGTTACGTAGTAATAGGAAAATGTTTCTGCTCTCATGTTTCAATACTACTGATGCACTGCGTTGATTCCCGGCTGTCATACAACTACTGCGTTTTTGAGTCCATAATCTTGGTCCAAGTTCAAAGTCCAGCTCTGCCTCACGGTGTGAAGAAAATACCTCATTGCTTCGAAAACCGTTAGAGTTTCAGTCAAGACCACAGAAAACGAAGCAGAAGCAGATTGCGTACTTTTACTCAGATTTTCATTTCATTTTTTGTTATTCTTTTTATTCATTGTTTTGCAAGCTAAAGATTGATAAACTCATGGCGTTTGAGTAACTGGAAACTCATGGAATTTTTTCAAAGATACTATCAGCTAAAAGGCGAAGTTCCTTTCTCAGTGAGATTCTAACATCAGCATTGATCAGCTCCGAAGGGATGAGTCAAAGCAGCAGGCTACCTCCTGCATTGTAAAACGTTTGGCATCTGCAGATCTTTCAATCCTCAACAGTTAGTCCTATCCCCAACATGAAATACACCCTCAAAATGCCTATTGACAAAGGAGGTGGGGTTGGGAGGAAAAAAGTGCGAGCTTTCTTAACTCTTCCTTTTAACTCTTGAAAGTCCGTGAGAAATCCATTCTTTTCACGAGAACTTCTCCTTATCCTTCCGAAAGTGCAACATCACCCTCAGCGCTGAAGATCACCTCACAGAAATAACAAATATGACGCCTCTTTTTGGGATGTCCAGCGGACGGTTGATTATAACGTGAGCTCTACCACAGTTT